CTGACTGAGGTCAGGGATAGTGTTCCCAATTCCAGCACTACCACTTTTACCCCCCCAAAAGTGGTCATACTATATTTTGAAGTAGGTTTCACTGCCCTCCCCCTTTATGTATGATAAAGGGAACCTGAGAATTGTGAACAGACTCCTCCCAAGTCTAACCATCTTTTGGCAGAAGTATTCAACAGAACAAAATATGTGGTACATTTAGGATGTCGGTCCTCTTGTGCGTGCTGCCACTGTTAAGGTCATCAGACTCACAGTGACTTTCAGCAATCCATTGCATAGGTAATCATCATCTTTGGCCTGTCTGGTGCATATGTAATAGTCTTCTTTGGCCTGTTCAAGGAAACCCAAACCTGCAGATGGCGTGCATGCATCCCATCCTCCACCTCCTATGCAGGTGGCCAAGTGGGGCACACCTCCCCAGCGCGGGAGGCCTGCAGGAGGCTCGCGGCCCCCCCAATGTGGGTGGCCGTTGGGGGCGTGCCCCCCCCCTTGCTGTATGGGCGCTCGGCAGGGTGCGCGGCCCCTCTTGTGCAGGTGGCCGGCGGGCGCCCACTTCCCCCTACAGCCGCCATCCTGGCTCCAAGAATTCTCTCCAGACCAAGTTCATCTTGTGGCAGTGTGGTGGCTTCGCTGTACCAGTCTTGAGGAGGGCCGGTGCCCCACATCCATCCTGGGTGAGGGAATCCATTCGTTCTGGCTGTGGAAGCCTCATGGAGCTGCAGCAGCTGTTCGGCACAGGCTCTGCAGGGGCTAGGGGTTGGGAGCCACAAGACTCACCCATTTCTCCTTGGGAATCCTTGAATTCCTGTTGTTAAGCCTCAATCTTCACTGAGGGCCAGTCATCAACTGTTCAATTATCAATAAGCCAAAGTCTGTGGAAGGCCATAATGGCCCTGCTTTAAATGGTTCGCTGCTCCTGCAGCTCACCACGCTGTCTCTGCCTCCGCCGCCATCTTGGATCTTTTCTGGAAAATTTTCTTAAGCCAAGAAATATGTACCATGTGAAATTTGACATTTTTCAACTATAATCAGCTTTCTAAAACAACCAGTTAATTGGATTGATTTATTTGAAATTAATTGTCGCATGCAAAGTTTTGTATATTTTGTAATGTGATGTTTGTTGACATAATAAATTTGAAATCAAATTTTATTTTTGCCAATGCCATTTCCATTGGGCTTTTACAGAATTTCCTGTAACGTGTCACATGTTTTATATAAAACATTTCTTTGATAACTAGTGTTCTCTTTTGTTGAAACAGTCAAATTATTTTGTCTCATCTGACTCTTTCTGTAATAATTTGACCTTCCCAACCAGATTTCCTAATTCTCTCTGGGCAATTGCTCTCTCTGTAAGGATATAGGCTTTATAAAGCTGTTTTGCAAGCAGTATCCATTTATTATTATTAAGTGCCCTCAAGTCAAGTACAACGGCAGATCCAAACCTGTCCTACCCTGTGCCATCCTCAGTCTCTGGTACACTTGAGCCCATTTCTGACTTCACTCTCTCGGTCTGGGTGAGGTTCTTTCTCTCCTTTGCCATCCCTCCACCTTTCCAAACATGTTGTCCTCTTCCAAGGAATAGCCTCTCCTAGCATCATGCCCAATGTATGCAAGACAAAACATCACCATCCTTGCTTCCGAAGAGCACTCTGGCTTTACCCTGTCCAAGACATAGGTGCTTGTTCTCTTAGCAATCAATGGGATATTCTATATTCTCCTCCAACACCACAGCTCAAAAGCATCAATTTTTCTTCTGTCATCCTTATTCATTGTCTAACTCTAAGATTCATAGTAGTAGGTGATTGAAAAGATCATGATCTGAATCAGGTGCACTTTAGCCGTAAATTTTACAAACTGTTTTATTTTCTAGAGGATTTGTCAGGTTTAGTGTCATGAGCTCTTTGTATTTGTGGAGTTTTTTTTAAGGTTTCTTTTTGTTTTCTTGATCCTCCCCCCCCCAATTTCTATTTTGTGTTGACTAGAAACTCAAACTATATTGGTTTTATGGTAATAATGGTCATAGATGAGTTTGTCCAGTTTTAAAGAATGATTATTTATAAATCTTTTTGTTGGAAAGGCTACATACATTCCTAACTTAACAGACATGGACTGTAAGTGATAGACAGGGTTGATTATATCTAAAATATAAAGTATTTGGTTTACTTGTATTCAAAAACACTTCCATAAGGAGTAAGATTTCTAGGATAGATTTAAAAGTTGTATGTGGGCATACGTATGTTGAAACTGATGTAAATACGCTATTGGTATTCTCACTTAATCCAATATCTTTAAAAATAAATAGAAACATTTAATTTTACTAGTGTCAGAAATCTCATGTCAAATTACTTAATGGAATATTTTAATTAATTAACATATTAATCTTTAACTTAGAATCCTGGAACAGCTCATCCTTATGACAGTGGCCACATAGCAATGACCTACACTGGCCTTTCATGCTTAGTTATTCTTGGAGATGACTTAAGCCGAGTAAATAAAGAAGCTTGCTTAGCAGGTTTGAGAGCCCTTCAGCTTGAAGATGGAAGGTATGAGCTATTCTTCATTAGTTTTTTTTGTTGTTGTTTTTAATTAAAATCTTTTGCAACTAAAAAAAGTATATCAGACTCTAGAACTCTAAAGAATCATAAACTTATACTGTAACTGCCTAAAGGTTACTATATTTAATTATGTCTGGTCGTAAAAATAAAAGTAATCAGTTCTTTTTTCTCTCTTTCCTTTTTTAACTGAGTTGATTGTTGTTGTTAGTGTAGCCCATCAAAACTCATTGTTAACCCTCCAGGGGGCTTTCAGAGTCAGTGCATCTCTTGGGGGGATATTGCTCCTCCTCCCAGAAAACAGCAACTGTAGTCAAACCACATACCTTTAGGTTAGCAGTGCAGTTTCTTACCACTAAGCCACAAGAACTCTCCCAACTGAGATGATAATGCCACAAGTGAATGAATAGCTTCAAAGTTGTGATCTATTTTATTTTCTGTTCTGAATGTGGGGGGGAGGGATAGACCTTTTGAAGTAAGCATTTTTTTTAAAGTAAGCATTCATTTATAATCAGAATTTACACCTGTTAATACAGTGGAAGAGAGAAGAAATTTGAATAGGATATGTAGATAGTAACATTTTCAAAGACTAGAAAAAGAAGTTAGCAAGTATATTAATTTTTAGTGTCTCATATGCTATATTCAAGTTAAAAAAAACTCTTCCAAGAGTTTTAAGATCTTTCAAAAAATATTTTCAAGCCAGGAAATAAGAGGTGGTCACTGAACAGCAAAGATTTTAACTATCTTGGCCCAATTATAGGCAATTTCCCCCCCTTTTGCAATTGTAGTGAGTTCTAATGATGCAGATGATCTATCACCAAGTGAGCATTTGTGAGAGCTCCTTAGAGAAATTGACTACCCACTGGGAATCTGTTAACTTACTGTGTAAGTGGATACTCAGCAGAACTTGAGCCTGGATACTTCAAATTCATGCTGTTCAAAATTAAGTTCTCATTAAGGAAAAATGATTTTGTTATATCCTATAAAACATGGGAGAGTCTAGAGTGTATGATGAGTGAAATAATTCCATTTCATAAGGACAAATGTTGCATAAAACCATTATTGTAAAAAATAGGATAACTGAGCAAGGTGTATATACGTTCAAAAGAGGAAGTGAAAAGGGGGCAGGGGGCATGGAAAAAGGGGAAAGGGAAATCAAGATAGCAAAGGTTAGTGGGCTGATTGGGGGGTGAAGGAATAGGAAAGATTAAATGGGAGCTTGATAAGACAGGGTAATAATAGACATAGAAAAATAGTAATTAATTATATAAAATACAATGTATATGAAAGATTGTATGAAGCACAATATAATGAAAGGTTGTATAAAATACATTAATGAAACCCAGTGTATATGAATTATTATATGCAAACCATTGTTGGTTTACCATTGATTCAGAACTGACCCATAGTGATCCTCCAGTGGGTTTTCAGAAGCATTAAATTGTAAGAGAGGAGATTACCCATTCTTCTTCCAGAGAGTATCTGATGGATTTGAACTGCTTACCTTTCAGATTACATTGCAGCTTATTACTAGGCCACCTGAGTTTCCTAAACCAGTATTAGATGAAAGGAGAAAAAAAAAAATCAGTCCTCAAAGCACAAACCCACCATATTTCCAGGTCAGTTTTAAGTTACACTGCGATTTTCAACTACTCTGGAGTTCAGCACCCCCAATTCCCATGTTGTTAAAGTGTCAACTATAATATAGCAGTTATGATGCTATATTACAGCATAATTTAGTGGTAACCGTAATCCAGTGGTAAGGAAAAGGTTTCAGAGACAAATGTGACTTTCTTGCTACATCTTTGTTCTCCATCTGTTAATGTCTTTGTTATTTACTTGTGTTTTGAAAACTAGTGCTCTTTATGTGGTAAAAATTAATGTAGACCAGTAAGCTAAATTTACATTAGTCATAAATACCATAAAATTAAGATTTACATCTGTGCATGTGACTAATATTTCTTTTCAGTGTAGTTTGATTATTGCTACCTTATCCTTGTATATAAATAAAAGATAAAATATTACCTCCCTAAAACTAAGTAACGCCTATAAAGTAACTAACTCAGTGTATATATAAGTTAGGAGAAATTTCACATACCAAAACTTCAGCTTGAGAATATCTATTCCTACTCAATAAATTATGTATTTTTTTTATTTGCTACTTTTATTCTGCTGTCAGTTTTCAATCCAGTATACCACAGTGGGGCTGCTGACCACTCCACTAGAGAAATAGGAAGGACCCTCTTCAAATTTACAATCTGGGCAATCTCTTAGAGGTTTACCATGATTTGGAAATTCGATGATAGTGGGTTTAAGGGAGGGGGTTTTTTTGTTCCCTAGTTGAGACTAAATAAACCTTACTGTGAATGCTGGCATCTGAAAAGAACTGGTTGTGTGTAAAACCACCCAACTATCAGAACTATGGGTGATAGTTAAGAAATGGTTTTATATTATTATAGTTTATTATTCCTCATTGAATAGTACAAATAGAGTATGGTTTTTAAATCATTGGTAAGTTTTTCTGAGAGTAAGGATACTTGGTAGGTATTTTTATATAGCACCCTCTTAGCCCTAGGGGGGAAAAATTCTTTTACAACAGTATTAATGCAAATATTGTTGTTGTTATATTATTATTTTCAGTTTTTGTGCTGTACCTGAAGGAAGTGAAAATGATATGCGATTTGTGTACTGTGCTTCTTGTATTTGCTATATGCTCAACAACTGGTCAGGCATGGATATGAAGAAAGCCATTGACTATATTAGAAGAAGTATGGTGAGTTATGTTACTAAGCTGGGGAAAGAAAAGGCAATATACTGTAAGGAGTTGATCAGAAGTTGCAATTTATTAATTTTAATTGCTGATTAATTATTATAAAACTGTATATGAATGATTGAATGAAAAACAGTATCATTTGTAAATGTTCACTCAAATAACAGTAAAATTAACTTTGTTGTTTTAAAAAATTTTCTATTTCTCTCACCATACACACATATTGATTTTGCACTTAATATATCTTAATTTTAATTATTCCATGTTACTTATAATTTTTCAATGTTTAATGTTACTCCATTGTGTGGATTTTTTTTATCATAAATTTTTGCATGTTGTATTTTGTTTTTGGAAGTGAATTTTCAGGATAGATTACTGGTAGTGGAATTGCTGGATTAAAATGCAAATTTGTATGTAATTTTAATAAACAAAACATGAAGCCCACTGCTAGTGAGTCAATTCCAGCTCATAGTTGGATCCTAGAAGGCACAATACAAAGCCTCATGGGATTTCCAAATCTGTAAATTTTGATAAACTTGAAATACTTCATCTTAATTTGGATCTACAGTTACCACCCTTGATCCCCGCAGTCAAGAAGTAAGGAGACACACTGCACTGGGGAAAATCTCTAGTTAAGGACCTCAGAATTATTGGGGAGTAATGATGTCAGTGTGAGGACTAAGATGGGTCTGATTCAGGCCATAGTCTTTCTGATCGCTGGCCATTCATCTGAGAGCTGGACAGTGAAAAAGGATGACAGAAGAAGAGTTGATGCCTTTGAGCTTGGGGTTGGAGAAGAGCACTGAACATCCCATCAACTGCCAAAAGAACAAACAAATATGTGTTGGAGAGTGTGCAGCCAGAGATCTCCTTGGATGCAAGAATGATGAGGCTTCACATCACATACTTTGGGCATGTTGCCAGAAGGGGCTATTCCTTGGAGAAGAACATAATGCTAGCAAGAGTGGAGGGTTGACAGAGGAGAGGAAGACCCTTGACTAGGTGGATTGATACAATGACTGCCCCAGTAGGACCCTGTGTGTCAGGAAGTAGGAGGATGGCACAGGATGGATAGAACAGGGTTCATATATTTTGTTCATAAAGTTGAGTTGTACTCAACAATAACTTGTTGTTATGTGCCGTCGAGTTGCTTACGACTCATAACGACCCTATGTACAACGGCCCTAAACTCTGTCCTGTGCCAGTCTCACTGTCTCCGACACATCCATCCCAGTTACCCCAGTCACCGAATCAATCCACCACCTAGAAGGCCTTCCCCACCTGTGCCTGCCCTCCACCCTCCCAAGCACGATGTCCTTCTCCAAGGATCGGTCTCTCCTTAAAACGACCAAAGTATGTCAAATGAAGCTTCAGAATCTTTGCCTCCAAGGAGCAGCCCAGTTTAACCCTCTCAAAGATGAATCTGTTTGTTTTCTTAGCAGTCCATGGTACTTTCAATACTCTTCTCCAGCACCATCCTCCCTAGTCATTGTCCAACTGTCTGATGCATAACAAGTGATTGCAAAGACTATGGCCTGTATCAGACTTACAACAAAAAAAATTGTGATAGAACTGAATTACCTGTTTTTTCTTTGGCAGAATATGGCTGGTAGATTCAAACCACCAACTTTCCAATTAGCAGTCCATTGCTTAAGCCCTTCAGCAGTCCCTGCAGTTTTAATAAATATTATCAAATGTCTTTTTATAAGTAATGGAACAGTCTGTATTCCCATCAGCATTGTATGGAGTATTTGTTTGTTTCTGTTTTGTCTGTAGAATGTGCTGCCAACCTAGTGAATGAAAAATGCTGTCAGTATAGTTTTCATGTACATTCTTTTACTGTGAGTGAAATTGGCTATTAACTGGCTGGCAATTCAAAACTAGCTTTAACTAATAGGTCATAACTGACCTATACAGGTTTTAATATTAGTTGCTGTTGATTGTTGTTGTTACATGCCATTGCATCACCTGCGACTCTTAGCTAGCGTTTCTACAACAGCCCTAAACCCTGCCCTATCCTGTGCCCTATCCTTATTGTCTCTGACACACCTATGCCCATTACCCCAGTCACTAACTCAGTCCTTCTCATCGAGGGTCTTCCTCTCTTGGGCTGTCCCTCCACCCTCCCAAGCATAATGTCTGTCTCAAAGGACTGGTCCCTCCTTACAACATGTCCTAAGTATGTCAATCAAAGCTTCAGAATTCTTGCCTCCAAGGAGCAGGCTGGTCTCACCCTTTCTAGGACGAACCTGTTTATTCTCCTAGAAGTCCATGGTATATTCAGTACTCATCTCCAGTACCACAGCTCAAAAGCATCAATTCTTCCATCATCCCTAGTCATTGTCCAGCTTTCTGACGCATAGCGAGTAATTTCAAAGACTGTGGTCTGGATCAGGTGCACCTTAGTCTCCAGACTGAGATTGTTGCTCTTTAGTACAAGACTTTCCCAATAAACTTCATCTTTTAATTTCCTGGCTCCTGGTACCAAGAGTGTTGATTGTGGAGCCAAGCAAACTAAAGCTGTTAACAATCTTAATTTCTTCACCATCTGTCATGGTGCTACCAATAGGCCCAGTGGTGAGAATCTTTGTTTTCTTGATGTTGAGCTTCAATCCATATTTAAGGCTGCAGCCCTTGGCCTCCTGCAGCAAGCGCTTCAGGTCCTCCTCAGTTTCAGCAAACAGGGTTGTATTATCTGCTTAACACAGATTGTTGATGAGTCTGCCTCCAATCCTGATGACACATTTGTCATCATAGAGCTCAGCCTCCCAGATAATCTGTTCACCATAGATTGAAAAGGTATGGAGATAGGACACATCCCTGGCATACACCCTTCCCAATTCTGAACCATTCCATGTTTCCTTGCTCTGTTCTGACAACTGCCTCATATCAATCAGTTTCTCTGACATTTTATTACTTCTTGCTTTATTTCATTTGTATTCTCTTAAGTGGGTTTGTTCATTACCTCTCTTTCATGTCCCTTATATTTTCATTGGAATCTGTTATTCATTATAAATCTTGTAATTTGGTTTCTGTTTCTGAAGAAAATAAAAAGGAAATCAAAAGACAAATTGCTTGTTGCACCCACTGTCTTTGTTTGTTGGGAAGCAGGGAAGCGGCAAGGACACTTCATGTCCCACACCAAGAACGGACTAAAAGAAGCCAAATGGTGAAAGCTACCTCCTCAACAGCCAGACCCCAGGGCATAGTGACCTCTGAGGATGTCACTGTGTACTTTATCATGGAGGAATGGGCCAGCCTGAAACCCAGTCAGAAGGCCTTGTACAAGGATGTGATGCTGGAGAAATATGAGGCTGTGGTATTCCTAGCTGTGGCACCTGTTCCCAAACCAGCTTTGATTTCTTAGCTGGAGCAAGAGAAAGAGGACCAGTTGAGCCAGAAGATGAGACAGGAGAGCAGCCCTCAAAAGATACATAGCAAAACTAAGGAGATATGTCTCCTTAGCTAGAGCAACATTTTCAAATCCATTATTATTTCCAGCTCCTCAGATTCATCAATGCTGGGATCTTGTGAGGGATTAAAAGTTAGACAACTGCCATTATCCTTGGCTACACAAAACTGCCTCAGAATTGATTTGTTGATGTCTTTCCAGTTTTATAAGTATAAAATCCTTGCATTTTCCTTTAACTCATATACTTACAGATGAAAGAAGAGTAGGAGTGGAACTTTCTACTGGATTAAAATTGAATGTGTAGGTAGCATCCTTAAACAATCTTGTCTCTGAATATGCCCTAATATGCGCAATTTATTGAATTGACCTATAAAATAAGACAAGATCAAGTGTTGAAATGCCACAGTCTATTTCTTTGTTCATAGGAAGGGATGCATAGTATAGAAGATATAAAATAAAATTAATGCATTAGATCAAGCCAAAACCTAGCATAATGGCAGCTTATTTATTCATATATCGTTATTTCTTTATTAAAAATAAACTTTTTTTTTCTTTTAGTCCTATGACAATGGACTGGCACAGGGAGCTGGACTTGAATCTCATGGTAAGATATCTTTAAAATAAGTGGATATATAATTGGTTTTGTTACTATAAGCAGTGTCATGGTACCTTGATGCAGATAGGACATGTAGGAAGGATTTTGGAATTTTATCTCTACTTTTTTTTTTTTTTCTTTTTTTTGTTGTAGTCTGATTGTCTTCTGTTTAACTTTTCCTGTGTCTATTTGAAACCTCCTCTCTTGTTTGTTAGGTGCTGTGGAAGTGAGCACAACTCATAACATCCCTGTGAACAAAAGACCTAAACCCTGTCTATCCTGCACCATCCTCACATTTCCTTCCTAAAATACAAAAGCCCTTTGCAGCAGTCACTGTATCTGTCTACCTGATTGAGGGGCGTCTTCTTCACTGACCCTCCACCCTTCCCAACATCATGTCCTTCTCCAAGGAATAATACCTGCGAGCCACATGTCAAAGTGTGTGAGGCAAAGCCTCATCATTCTTGCCTCCAAACAGCACTCCGGCTGCACCCTCTCCAAGACACATCTTTTGGCCATCCATGGGATGTTCAGAGCTCTTCTCCAACACCACAGGTCAAGTGCATCAGTTTTAGGTTATAGAAGAAATAAAGACTGAAATAAAAAAGTTCCTTCAAACAAATGAAAATATAATAAACTACACCTCTGGGATAGGGGTTCCTTGGAGAGGGACATCATGCTTGGGAGGGTGGAGGGACAGCACAGGAGGGGAAGGGCCTCTGTGAGGTGGATTGATTCAGTGTCTGGGGTAATCGGGATGGGAGTGTCAGAGACAGTGCGATTGGCACAGGACAGAGCAGAGTTTAGGGCTGTTGTACATAGGGTCGCAAGCGACTCGACGGCACATAGCAATAACAACAACATATGCTTGTTTGTCATTTGCATTTAAGAGTAGAGCATTTGTCTGTCAGTTGTTGTATTGAG